ATCGTTGTCGTTGTGGTTGTTGTTGCTGTCGTTTCGTCTCGTTTGTTTCTTTTCTTTACCGTTGATCTATTTTTGTTACAGGTGTCCAAACACAGTGACGACTGACAACATTGACCCAAGCCCACCACCAACTTGCAAGTTTCAAGTTAAACTCAAAGGCACAATGCATCTTGGATTCGTTTTAGTTAACTCATGTCCAATGTCGGCACATCAAAGACAGTCATCCAAACTCTGTAAACAAGCCAACCAATTCAACAAATTAGATATCTTGACTTCCGTGCCTGTATTTGATTTACTATCAAACAAATCATACGGGAATGTCTTCTGTGCATCCTGTAGCCAAAGAAAAACCTTGGCTATGTGGAGAGTGGAAGCTGCTTGCAACCGTACTGTTCCTAAAGAAACTTCTCAATCCGAATTGCTCAAATTCATTGTTTCCAGCCATTGTACAATCAGTTCCTCTCCGCCGAGTTCTGTTTCGGTGAGCCGACATCGTATCTGTGTGCCCAGACACAAACACAAGCAATACGCTTCTATAGATGACTCATCCCATACGCAAAAACTACGAGAGCTCTGTGATTCATATGCCTTTCCAGTCTGTGCAATTACTCCAGATGGTAACTATCTCTGGTTTAAGAACCCTCACTGCCTGCTCTTTCATGGGATATTTGACATGCAAGATGCTCATATCACATGTCCCTCTTCCGATCGTCCACTTCCGCCTCTCACAATACTCTTTGACTTCCGGTCAACAACCAACTACGTCATCAGCAGACAGCTTAAAGATCAAGACACTCCCGAAGAAGTGATGGAAAAAGAGTTGGAATGTAAAGAGGACCACGTGTTTGACGCATTCACTGGCAAGTGCCGAAGGATATTTGAAAGCAAAAGCAATTGTGATCTCATTAAACTGGAGAAGTCTGAATACAGGATCTTTCAAAATGGTTCTCTATTGTTCAGAGGAACTATGCATACAGATCAAAGTTATTCCATAATCAATGGAACTGTTTCGGTGTGTGTTAATTTAACCAAAAACTACACAGTGCTGGAATCCAGGTTTGGCAAAAGCAGCAAATTATTGGATCCAATCACTGGTCTATCCATCTCTGGCTGCGCTTTGTCTTTGATCTCCTTACTGTTGCTTATCATCTCATACTTGGTTCTGCCTGATCTGCGAAATCTGCCTGGTAAAATAGTACTAAACATTGCCGTATCGATGTTTGCGTATCTCTTGCTTTTCTTCTTCATTAACCGTACCGAACGTCCATTGGTTTGCCGTGCAATTGCTATATCTCTCCACTTCTTTTTCCTGTCGATGTTTTTCTGGATGAACGTCATGGCCTTTGATATCCACAGCACATTCACGAGGAAAGGTTAGTGTACCTGGCAGTTACTGTGATATCCACAGCACATTCACAAGGAAAGGTTAGTGTAGCTAGCAGTTACTGTGATATCC